ATTAAAAAAAAACATGTATGTAAGTTTTATAAAACGCTAATGGGACATTCGAAAATGTGTGTTTCACAAGTTTCAAAATTAAAAAAAAATTATTCTGAAATAACTATACAAATATTTTTTGAAAGAGTTTACTAAGGGCTTGTTAAGCTTTCACTTGGTTGTTAAATCAATAAGATTCGATAATTTTTAACAAAGTTATTGGAATTCAAACTTACGGGCAGTGGAGGGCGGGTGTTTTTTGAAAACGACCCTTATACTGCTTATTATAGTATACACAGTACGACAAAATTTGATTTTTTAATTCGCATTTCGTTTTAATATTCTGCTAACACTGCTCTGGGATATTCCCAAATCTCTAGATAATTCTCGTGTGCTTGCATGAGGATTAGCGGCCGTTGCTGCTAATACATTAATTTCATTATTTCCACCTGTGACTGTTGCTCGATGAACTCTTTTTTTCGTTTGAAAAATCCCGTTTGTAGTAAATGAAGTACGTGATCGAATTTTATCCGGACGATGAGCGTAGATATTAACAGCATCATCAAGATTCCTGCCTGCTTCTCCATAAATCAAAATCATTTCTATTTTTTCTTCCACTATTAAAAAATCCATTATGAATACCTGCTTAACGAAATGAGGTCTTTATGTTTGCAAATTAATCTTCGAACTGAATTGATTAAATAATACTAAACTATAAATATTTTCTTTATACCTCAATAATAATTATAAATTGCATGGTGGCAGGTAAAAAGTGGCCATGGTGCGCAATTGATAATTATCACCGAATGAAATAATGTATACCAAAGGAAACTTATATTAGTTAAAAAATCGTGGGTACTTAAAAAAATCAGATTTAATTTAATTAGATAATAATTATTATTACCAAAAAAATGATATTTTTATAGAAAAATTATTGCAGAATCGTATACAGAAGAAAAATCGAACAAAATTGATTTTTTTATCATTACAAATATGAAAAAATGTTTTAGACAAAATAAAAAAAATAGGATGTTCCATTAGAAATTTTAAAGTTACCCCCTGTTCCCCCTATAAGAAGGAGAGTATGAGGACCAAGTTTAGTACTGAATGATTTCCCCTCTCGAATAATTTAATTTTTATTTCAAACATTTTTTCGTAAAATGCATACTAACTGAGATATTTCAACGTTTCAAGTTAAATGACTCACCTTGTTTATTGAAGATAAAAACAAATCTGTTGTTTTATTAAAAAATTAAAAATAAACTATTTTCTTTAATTTTAAAATTTAAATTATTATTTTTTACAAATTTGAAGAAATAAATGATTTATAACAAAATAGAGAATTAAAAATCTGTATAGGTTAATATAATATCAATGGCAGTTTAAACCCTTATTTTTAAATTCAGTTAAAATTTCTTATGGAAGAAAAATCGTGTTGAACTGTGTTATTAAACATAAATAAAATAGTTAAATGCGTTCTAATGGATATTTTGTACCGACGCGTCGTGTCATACGATTTTGCCAACAATTTTTATGGGAATTGAATGTTTTTAAATAACGACGCGTCGCGACGCGTCGTTATTTAAAAACATTCAATTCCCATAAAAATTGTTGGCAAAATCGTATGACACCCACAGGCACTTATGGTCAAATCATTATTCATTTAAAGTTATATGCGGACAAAAAAATAAAAAAACATGTGTATTCCTCTTCCTGTGTTTTTATAGTTTATGACATACAAGTTTAAACTGCAATTGCACCTAAGTGAAAATGAATTCTTAAAAATGTACTCTCAAAAACTGACAACTGGTGTTTTTTGCTCCAAAAATACAGTTTATCAAGATCTACACTTTAAAACAAATCTGGTTAAAATCGCTCAATAAATAAAGATTTTACAGGGGTTAGTCACAAACAAATGGGTCACACTGTATATTATCGCAAATATAGGTTGTATGGATTGTGGTAGTGTATACACAATGTGTCATAGGTACATAGAAATTTTAATTTTTTGTTTAGGTACTAAATATTTACAGCCCTATTAATATTATATTTACCGTCCTATAAATTTACAAATACTTAATATTGTAGAATGATATTAAATTAACTTTGCTTTGAAAATCAGACATTTAAAAATAGCATTAAACGACTTTATAGTCAATTTCCCGGTATATTTACAAATATACAATTTTATTTGCCAAAATATTGTTATAAATTTGGTGTAGGTGTGGAACAATTCATTGGTCCATTTACCCACAAATCGCAATAAATTTATCGTATAAATAAAAATATTCATTCATTTTTTAAATTTTTGTTTTCTTATAATTTACTACTATACCTATTACTAATAAATTTTAATATCATTTCCTCCACATACTATTTTTCTTATACATGTTGTTCAGTGGCGCACATACTTACAAGTATGTGTGGATATTTTATTTTATTTATTTTAATTAATTTTCTTTTCATTTTTCCTTTTGCTTTTTCTTGGTATCTCTTTCCGATTTCCTGTAAATAAAAATTTCGTTTCCTATCTTGTAGTATAAAAACTTTTATTAAAAAGCTATTAAAATAAAATATTTTTTTTTTACTTCCTGCAACTTGGTATCGATAACCTGTAGTGCATAACTTAATTTTTTATCCAAACTTTATGTACCTACCTATAATAATAATAGGTCTAAAGACCGTGGATTTAGTGCATACTTAAAGAGAGTTGCTTCTCAAATATAAAACACAAAATTAAAAACACAATGTCACAATACGTTTAAAAATAAATCTGACCTTAACACCAGTTTAAAAAGTGAAGATGCTTTATTTTATGCCAAAACACCTATACGGCGGATACAGTAATTAAGTGACGTCTCCGAGATATAATTAGATACCCTCACGCCGTTTTTAAACTTAAACCATACAATTTTGTAATAGCGTATTTTTAATGTGTGTTACTTGGTTCACCCTGTACCTACCTGCATATATCTAATAAGTACCTATATTCCCAAATAATGTATTCTATGGCACGTTGTTTTGGCATTTATTGGATAATAATAGATATATCTATAGGTTTAGTTCTTAGCTTTGTTTTAACAGAAATTTATAAGGTTGAAATTTAATTAGTTGATTAAAATTAACGATTTACATAAATCATGATTTTAATTAAGGGATTTTAATAAAAAATTAAATTAAAAAATAGCCCCCAAAACAAAAACAAACGATTTTACTAAAATTTAAAAGAATACATTTTCCAAATAATAATTTAAAAAAATTGCAGTGACACGTTGTGGGTTTTTTGTAAGTAGGAATATTTTTACGCTTGTTTTATTTTCTCCCTTGGCATTCTTTGTAAGTTTCGACATGCAAAGTTTTGATTTACTTCTGTACTATTATATACCTAATTATGTTTATTTATGTTTTATTTATTTCTTGTACCTGTTTTTTTATAATAAAACTATACAATTTGTAAAAGTTGAACTTTTTATATAACAACCCTTATCCTGTCAGAACGTATACTAATTCTTATAAAAAATGCATAATTTCGTCTATAAGACATATTTTATTAAAGTAACTAAATTGCTAATAAAGAGAATAAACAGAGTTTGTAAAAAGTATTAACCACTACATTAAATTATTAAGAATTCTCAGATACACATAACAATCTGAAGTTATACTGGCTAAAAAACATTTAATACTCGATATAAAGCGGGTTTATAGTATTTAAGATTTTGATTATATCCACTACAACATTATTTTATAGTGGCAGCATATCGATTTTATAAACACAAAACCAAGTTCATACCCAAGCAACAATTTAAGTATTTGTTACGTATATGGGACTATTGAATAAACTTTTAAGTGTTTTGCGACAGTCGCCGGTCTCTTTATAAAGATATAAATATATATATTACTAGTAAGAGCTCTTTCATTACTAAGTTACGACTAAAGTGGGAAACAATTATTGAGTTCCAAAAAGGTAGCAAATAGGTAACTAGCTATAAACCCTGCTACTATTTGGAACGTAGCTGCTACGTTACTAAAACGTTTTAATATCGTTGCTAGAGCGTTATAATTACTTTTATTTATTTGTTTTTACTTCTATATTAACTGTCTTTGTCAAACTTATATTAGATTATACTATCCCTCCTTTTTTAAATGGAACCACTACGGACTTGGCTTTTCAATGTCGTCGTTTATTAAATATGTACTGGTAGTTTATAACTTTCAGAATTAACAATATAGGCAGGTAAATTTATAAACCCTTTAAATTTTACTGTTGAACTTATGAATTTAGTTTTTGTAAAATAAATGCGCTTCATCAATATTTAAGTATAAACAAATTATTTATTTAATAATGTTTATAAATAAAAAAATCTTAATATTACAAACAATTAAAATAATTTATTATTTACATTACCACATGGTACTGTACATTAAAAAATGGCCGATAAGAAGCATTTTCCTTTGAAGTAGTTTTCGCTACTTTAAAGTTTTTTTCCACCTTAATTTACTTTACGGTAGTTTTGGTTAGTACCATAAACGTTCCAAATACTAAAATAATAACTTTTAAGTTATTAACTTTGTAGTTTTTAACTCATGTTCCAGTTTCGAGATTTTAACTTGCAAAGGGACTACAAAGTAAAAATAATTATAATGTAATATTTAGGTAGAAACCGAAAGTAACTGCTACAAATTAAATTTACTTGAAAGTCTTTTTTACTTATAACACCTTTTTAAAGTTGCAAAGTCTTCTTGGGGGCAACCAAGTTTTACTTAAATGTTTATTACTTTTTCATAACATTTTTTCCAAAATATCTAGGTTATTTTAAAGTTAAATGCAACAAATTGAATGCATCGGTTATTTTCGATTTTTGTAAACTAAAACAAGGTCGTTCTATTATTCGCAAACTCTATTTTCATCACAGATCTTCTTCTTATTGGAGTGGCGCTATTTCCAGCAATCCCCACCCAGGTGACTTAAAGTGAAATTCACTCTTAATTTTATTTAAACGCATTAAAAGCATTTTCCAGAACCAGACTGATGTATTTTACAAAACTAAAACTAAAAGGTGATAAGAAAGTATTCTCAAGTGGACCGGTTCTAATTTTAAACCCGACTGAGTTTAGAACCGAGAAATTTTAGTTTTGTTTCTACAACCGCTGGTGTATCCACATTCAACCAACGTGACAAAACATGGTCGCACAGAATGCAGAAATTTAGGAGAACCGTCAGGGATGTTCAGTTTCTTTCGACGTTCGAAAAAGGACAGCGAAAAGAAGGGGAAAGACAGGACAATAGTGGCTCAACTTGACGATACCTCATTGCCAAATAGTTCGTCTCAATTCGGGCGGCGGAAAAATGTCGCGAATGCAGCAGCAATTGAGCCCGCACTTGACGAAAAAATCGACACAACGAAGTGCAAAAATTTTGAAACCGAAGCTTCAGTCCAGCGCGCGCCACCGACCGTCTCCTACGCTAGCATGCTAAAAAACGGTGATAACAATGTGAAAAGTTTGTTCGTGAAGCCTTGCGGACACGGCAACACCGCAATCTCGCCCAGGATTCCCCTGGAGGCCAACGCTACACCGCCAACCAGCCCAGTTCTCGAGTTGAAGAAGTACTACACCGAAAAGGAAACCACCTCGAGGAAAAACTCGAAGGATACCACACATGAAGTTCCTCTTTTTGCCAACCTCAGGTTAAACCACGTTGCCTCGTCGCCTTCTTCCTCTACACCGTCGTCACCTGATACCTGGAGCGAGTGTAAATCCCTAGAAATCGAAAACTCCGAAACGTATGTAAATATTTCGTTTGGCATTGCAAAACTATTTTCAGAAAACTTGGATTCATACAAACGCCCACTGTTGGAGCTATTAATATTAGAAATATATAGAATTATTTTTTTTATTCTATATCAGTGCATTTAGTTGCGTCAAACCACTATTTCTTACGTCAAATTAAGGATTCATGAATGATTTATGAGTTTTGATCATAAAAAAGATATTTAGGTTATTTATTTAAAAATGTTTCTGACCTATATTTATTGAATAAGATGGAAACTTTTTAATTAAAATTACAAACTATAGCAGTTTTGGTTCCAAATAAATAAAATTTAAATCGCTATTTATAATGGTTATAATCAAATTTTTATTTGAGTATAAAAGTTTAAAAACTGCATTCTATTTGTGTATCCCCCTTGTTAAAAATGGGGTCGTCTGTTTTTTTTAATAAATGGTTAAATCAACAGTTTTCGCACATTCAATGCAAACATGTTTACTTGGAGTTAAAAGAACCAAGAATGTTACAATATAAATTTTAAAATTTTATTGGTTTAAAATTTTCCTAACTAAAAATTTTAGGTTTACATTAATAAATTTATAATATTTTCAACTATCATGTATTGAAAAACAAAATTTACTAACCAACAGTTCACTTCTGTATTAAACAATATTATTTTCTATCAATTTTTGCAAAAAATTTTTAATAAAAATAATTTCTCAAGTATAATTTATTTGGTTGGCATTTTGTTAACATTGTTAAAATAAATATTTTATAAAATTATTGATTTAAAATAAAAACACATATAAAACATTTTCTACCAAAATAGTTTAAAAAGTTAAATTTTTGTAAACTCAAAACTATTGATAATCAAAAAATATTTTAAATATAAAATGCAACTGTAAAAGTTTAAGTTTAAAAATATTAATTTTTAAAAAATGGAATTTTAATATTTTATTCTTTAAAATTATTTGTTTGAATATGTAAAGTCATTTAAATGATAGTCGATAAATTTTCAATACAAAAATTTGAACATTACATTTAAATGTTAGTTTTAAATTTTAAAGTGGTAATTTTTGCATTAAAAATTTATCGAAAGCTACGTTTACACTTTGTAATTTAAAAATTATCGACTTACATTTAAATGTAAAGTTATAAATTTTGTCTTAAAATATATCACTTTAAAATTGTTAAAAATAAAAAATTTTGGTTTAAATTTGTAAAGAGTCATTTAAATAATAGTCGATAAATTTTTAATCCAAAAATTACTACTTTAAAATTTAAAACTTACATTTAATGTAATGTGAGAATTTTTGTATTAAAAATGTATCAACTATCATTTAAATGACTAAAAATTTAAACCAATAATTTTGTAGAATAAAATATTATAACCAAAACTTTTAAAAATCAATATTTTTAAACATAAGTTGTTACTGTTGCATTTATATTTAAAATATTTTGTTGACTATCAATTGTTTTGAGTTTAAAAAAATTTAACTTTATAAATTTCTGTTAAAACATAATTTAAGTGCTAAATCTTTATCTTTAAACTTTTATCTAATAAATGCTAAAACGGCGTGCCATAGTTTTTGGTTCAACCACTAAAAATATTAAAATAAAATACACGGATTATTAAAATAATATTATTGTGATATTTAAGCAAATTATTAAAAATATTAATTTAATAATAAAGATGGTAGCAGTTTTAATCTTTAAAATTACTTGGATTAATAAATTTAAAGGTTAAAAAAATTAATTGTTACTTAAATCAAATAATTAAAATATTTATTCAAAAAATTGTACTTAAATAAGAATAAAATAGAACAACTTTGAAACATTTTTAAAAAAAAATACTTACCAACTAAGTATTCAAAAAAAAAGTAAAATGAAAATCTTCCATGTAGATCTTGGGAAATAGCGATCAATTCTTCGTAATTTATGTGTAGTATCGTATATTGATAATATTTTAACTGTCTCAAAGTTAATAATTGTAGAATATTTTTAATTTGAAAGACTCATACGATAGTAGGAAACTCAAACTTAATTCTTCTGAATGCATTATTTAAAATTATAAACGTAAAAATTGATAAACTTTAACAAAAATGTAAAAAACAACAAAATAAATCTAAGCCTACAGATGTTGACTATTGTATGCACAAAGACATCGTAGCAAGTTCATATTATATTTTTCTAAGTTATTTCTGGATAAATTGAGGCGTTTCTCGGAAAAACATCATTAGTCCAATATCGTCGAAATTTAGATATAAGCACCAACTGTTTCCTAACCTCCATATATACGTATACAAATATATTTATATATAAACTGCGCACCACTCAATGTGTCGCGACCAAAAAGTTCGTCCTTTTTCAAAACGACATAACTTTTTTGTTTCTTGAAGGATTTTATTTTGGTCTGTAATGTCTGCTAACCCCATCCTCTGGCAATTCATACTGTAGATATTAAGCATACGGTTCTTCAAGTAAATTTCCTACAGGGTGATATGTAAAACGGTGAAAAATTTCAATAACTTCATCCAAGCCCCGTTTGTAAAAAAATATTTTTTTTTTCGTTTTTACTTTGAAATAATGAATTAATATGTGTTACCTTGAAACGTTTTTCAAATTTTTCGAATTGGAATCTTAGCAATGAAAATATGATTTTTTTTTCAAAAGAGTACATTTAAGGCTTTTTGGTAGGCAATATATTCAGTCTTTTTAAGAACAAGAAAATAAGATGGTAAAAGATTTTTTCTTGAATAATTCTGAACAAGCGACAAGCAACAAACTTTCATTATTTTCAGAGGGGCCTAAGCAAAGACCACTTTTTCAAAATGACATTTTGGTGAAAATTTGCAAAAACTAAACCTGAACCGATATTTACGTTCGTAACATGTTTTCTTTATAATTTTGACCTCCTGATTGTGATTCAGTCAGGTTTTATCTGAAACTTAAATTTGACAACTGAATCACAATCAGGAGGTCAAAATTATGAAGAAAACATTTTACGAAAGTAAATATCGGTTTAGTAATCAGTTTTTGCAAACTTTCACAAAAATGTCATTTTCAAAAAGTGGTCTTAGCTTAGGCCCTCTGAAAATAATGGAAGTTTGTTGCTTGTCGCTTGTTCATAATTATTTAAGGAAGAATCTTTCACCATCTTATCTTCTTGTTCCTAAAAAGAATGAGTGTATTGCCTAAAAAATAGCCTTAAATGTACTCTTTTGGAAAAAAAATCATATTTTCGTTGCTAAGATTCCAATTCGAAAAATTTGAAAAACGTTTCAAGGTAACACATAATACTTCATTATTTCAAAGTAAAAACGAAAAAAAAAATATTTTTTTACAAACGGGGATGGGATAAAGTTATTGAAATTTTTCACCGTTTAACATATCACCCTATAGGAAGTTTACTTGACCAACCGTAAGCTTCATATCTATAGCATAAATTGCCAGAGGATAAGGCTAGCAGACATCACAAACCAAAATTAAATCGTTCAAGAAACAAAAAAGTTATATCGTTTTGAAAAAGAACGAGCTTTTTGGTCGCGACACATTGAGTGGTGCGCAGTTTATATATTTTATAAGTGTTTCTTGTAAAAATATCATAGGTTCCATAATAATTAAATATGAAATTTAGCTTGTTCTTCTAAAAACATCACAAGTCCACTCCGTTTCGTCTAAGAAAGTCACATGTGCATAACATGTGATGTTTTTGGACACTCCAGAAAAGCTTATACCTCTTTTACATGTGTGAGAAAGAATAATAATACTCTTTCCGTTTAAATTAAAGTCTATTTACTATTAAAAATATAAAGAGATTAATATAATTATAACAAATTAATAGAGAATGTGTGTCGAGTAAAGGGTGAACTCTGACTGCCTTTTCAGAATGTTCCTCGTCGTGCCTGTGCCTCTCAGGGAAGATAGATAAATTCCTAAAAGCCACCTGCATAAACAAACAAATGTCTAGCCTGGCGCTTAACGGGATCGACTCCCACGATCGCTCTTGAGTCGTCTCAAATTTCGTTACAGTCGGCCATGCTACCCCTTTTTCCGTCCTCGGAAAATATTCGTTTAATCCTATGGAAAATGTCAAATTACTAAAAGATTACATTGCGTAATTTATTGTGGGTTCAACATCCATGAACAAATAAATTAAACCAAAATAAACAAATCATAGCCTTTTTGCTACATAATAAATTACATTTCTTTTTAACCGAAATTTGTCATGAACGGATCCCAATAAATTTTATGTCACATTATGTATTTGTGTGTTTGCTTTACCAAAAACCCAGAAAAACAACACTATTTGGTTCTCACGTCAGAACTCAAACAATGAAGGCCCTGAATTCTTTGTAAAGCAAACTAAGCTCTTATTCATTCTTAAATTCTACGTCAGAATTTAAGTCTGAATCGTTTTTACTACAATCGTGCGTAGTGTAGAGCTTCGTCTTGTCTGCAGCATAAATTACGTTTTACTCACTCACGAGTTCTACGTCAGAACCTGAGTTTGAGTCGTCACTACTACAATCGTGCGTAGCAATGTATGGCTTTAATTTATCTGCAGGACATACACCCTGATACTTTTTCCGTGCTCGTCGTGTGCCCGGTAAATCGTTTATCAGGTACCTATCGTGATTAAGCACTTTGGTCACAACGTATGGACCGCTGTATTTAGGTAGCAGTTTCTTACTTTTACCCTCGTTAGTAAAAGCATTCCTTCGTAGGAGTACCTGCTCACCTACGTCGTATACAATAGGCTTTTTACGTTTAGCATCGTAATATGCTTTTTGCTTTGACTGTGCAGCCGTTATCCGTCGTGTAGCTTCTTCTCTAACCGTACTCATATCGTGGTCAACATTTTCGTTCTGTTCGACTTCATGAGCCAGAAATGCGTCGTGGATTCCCTTAGGTTTATACCCGAAAAGAAGCTCGTGTGGGCTTTTACCCGTAACGCTCTGCACTGCCGCATTAATTCCAAAACGTATGGAACCAATGACGTCATCCCACTTTCTC